ATGCGGAGTTGATGCTTTGTTTGTTTCCTCCATTTAGGATTGTGACTGCAACATGATGGACTGGCTGTAGCTTTTTCAGTCAGATGCCATCAGGTGCAGTCATAGATTCTGCCTCTTCCCCAAAGTGTTCCCCCTGTTCACAATAATATCACCTCCAACTCCCCCCAAATTTAGTTTGGGTCACCGTCCTTTCACATCCTGTGGATAGTAGGACATATCATGAAATAGGAAAAACTCACACCCTTCTCTTAGAGGTATGATTACAGAATAGAATTGTTGATCGCTATTACAATCCTACTGTGCTGCTAAGAGGGTGCACTGCTGGGTATACCTGTTGCTTTTGGTTAAAAACCATTTAAAAGATTCAGTAACCATAAGCAGAAGTGCATCATAACTTGTACAATGCAGTATTATGACTGGCTTACAAAATTAGAAATATGAGATCTTATTACGTGAACATAACTTTTCTATTTCAGCTTGTGATTATTGGAATGAGAAATCACCCCTTGGACTTGGCAGTGCAGTTAACTGCTAGTGCGTGTTCTCTTAACTTAACTAGACAGGGTCTGTCTGCTGGCATGCCTGTTCGTCTGCTGTCCGATGTGATCCATTTACTACTCAAAGCTGTGGAAAACTTTCCTGAACAACAACAGGTAAAAGGGCAGGGAGCACAATTTTAATTCGCTTCTCCTGACAAGGAGGGCTATAATATGAAGACAGAACAAGCATGTTTCTGCTCTGAGAGGGCTTCATCAGTATTGATGTATTAAGGTTTTGTTCAAATTAAATGAAATGCCATGATTAGCAGAAAAGACTAGATTTGTAGAATCTGTGGGGTTTTTCCCCTAATTTCTCTCTTCTGGTTTACATCAGTAGAGGCCAACACTAAGGTTGGACGACTGGTGCTCTCTCTACTCTCGTGCAGCTTAACAATTTTCTTTTTTGTTTTACTATTTATAAATTATGTATGCCATTAATTTTAACATTCAGATTCCTCTACAGTGTTAATCTTGCCTTGTCATGTTTCATCTTTGCTCTGTATTAGCAGACTTCTTATATGTCAATATAGTATAATGAGTACACTTAATAACACAGAAGAGTAAATCGAGAATAAGTAGTCTGAAATACATAGAAAACTGTCACCTTGCTTGTATGAAAATACAGGAAATGCAGGTTGGACTCCTGGGAAAGTCAGGATACTGACAGATGTGTTATAAAGCATGTTCTATTATTCTTAACCAATATTTGTGAATTGGTGTAAGTGGTAAAGTGCCGTAAAATTACTCCTGAATTTTAAAGAAGAACAAACAACAAAAAACTCTGCTTGCATCACAGCTGAAAGTCTCCTGCTTTTCTATGCAATCAAATGTGGAGCTACATCATAACTAAAATCTCAATTCTCATTGAGACATGGGCATCGTTCACAGCTAGGGAAATATTGAAGCAGTGACAGGTATTTTAAGTACTGTACTGGAAACAGGTATAATTAGTAGATATTTACTCATCAGAGTTACCTTTCAAGCTAGCTGTCCTCTGTACAATGTAGAAATCTCTCTTGCTGTATAAAGAGTCTTGCAGTATTCTTGCTGTCATGAGGCCTGAGATGCATTTTAGTATTGGCATAACTTAAAGAGAATTATTAGAAGCTTGTCTTTGAGCAAGCTGGTGAAATTGGTCTGGCACAAATTCAGTCATTATTTCCTCCACAGCAATTTGATTTTTTTAGTTTCTGTTCAGAGACAAGAAATAGCAGTTTCCAATACTTGTCATTCCACATCCAGGACTGATGGGTAGTGCGCTCTGTGTGGGTAACTGAATTGTGGTAGCTTGAGATCTCCGATTTACTCCTATCCTCTCAGAAGTCAAAAAAGCTAACAATGCTAGTAACCATTAGGAAAGGGACAGCTAATAAGAGAGCAAATATCATAATGCCACAATATAAATCGATGGTACACCCACACCTTGAGTACTGTGTGCAGTTCTGGTTGCCCCATCTCAAAAAAAGATATATTAGAAGTGGAAAAGGGCAACAAAAATGATTACGGGTATGAAACAGCTTCCATATGAGGAGAAATTTAAAAGACTGAGATTGTTCAGCTTGGAAAAGAGATGACTAAGGGTATGTCTACACTACGAAATCAGGTCGAATTTATAGAAGTCGGTTTTTTAGAAATCGGTTTTATATATTCGAGTGTGTGTGTCCCCACAGAAAATGCTCTAAGTGCATTAAGTGCATTAACTCGGCGGAGCGCTTCCACAGTACCGAGGCTAGAATCGACTTCCGGAGCGTTGCACTGTGGGTAGCTATCCCACAGTTCCCGCAGTCTCTGCTGCCCATTGGAATTCTGGGTTGAGATCCCAATGCCTGATGGGGCTAAAACATTGTCGCGGGTGGTTCTGGGTACATATCGTCAGGCCCCCGTTCCCTCCTTCCCTCCGTGAAAGCAAGGGCAGACAATCATTTCGCGCATTTTTTCCTGAGTTACCTGTGCAGACGCCATACCACTGCAAGCATGGAGCCCGCTCAGGTAACCGTCACCCTATGTCTCCTGGGTGCTGGCAGACGCGGTACGGCTTTGCTGCACAGTAGCAGCAACCCATTGCCTTCTGGCAGCAGACGGTGCAATACGACTGGTAGTCGTCCTCGTCGTGTCCGAGGTGCTCCTGGCCACGTCGGCTGGGAGCGCCTGGGCAGACATGGGCGCAGGGACTAAATTTGGAGTGACTTGACCAGGTCATTCTCTTTAGTCCTGCAGTCAGTCCTATTGAACCGTCTTATGGTGAGCGGGCAGGGGATACGGACTGCTAGCAGTCGTACTGTACCATCTTCTGCCAGGCAGGCAAGAGATGAGGATGGCTAGCAGTCGTACTGTACCATCTTCTGCCGAGCAGCCATGAGATGTGGATGGCATGCAGTCCTTCTGCACCGTCTGCTGCCAGCCAAAGATGTAAAAGATAGATGGAGTGGGTCAAAACAAGAAATAGACCAGATTTGTTTTGTACTCATTTGCCTCATTCCTCTAGGTCACACTGCAGTCACTCACAGAGAAGGTGCAGCGAGGTAAATCTAGCCATGTATCAATCAGAGGCCAGGCTAACCTCCTTGTTCCAATAAGAACGATAACTTAGGTGCACCATTTCTTATTGGAACCCTCCGTGAAGTCCTGCCTGAAATACTCCTTGATGTACAGGCACCCCCTTTGTTGATTTTAGCTCCCTGAAGCCAACCCTGTAAGCCGTGTCGTCAGTCGCCCCTCCCTCCGTCAGAGCAACGGCAGACAATCGTTCCGCGCCTTTTTTCTGTGCGGACGCCATACCAAGGCAAGCATGGAGGCCGCTCAGCTCACTTTGGCAATTAGGAGCACATTAAACACCACACGCATTGTCCAGCAGTATATGCAGCACCAGAACCTGGCAAAGCGATACCGGGCGAGGAGGCGACGTCAGCGCGGTCACGTGAGTGATCAGGACATGGACACAGATTTCTCTGAAAGCATGGGCCCTGCCAATGCATGCATCATGGTGCTAATGGGGCAGGTTCATGCTGTGGAACGCCGATTCTGGGCTCGGGAAACAAGCACAGACTGGTGGGACCGCATAGTGTTGCAGGTCTGGGACGATTCCCAGTGGCTGCGAAACTTTCGCATGCATAAGGGCACTTTCATGGAACTTTGTGACTTGTTTTCCCCTGCCCTGAGGCGCATGAATACCAAGATGAGAGCAGCCCTCACAGTTGAGAAGCGAGTGGCGATAGCCCTGTGGAAGCTTGCAACGCCAGACAGCTACCGGTCAGTTGGGAATCAATTTGGAGTGGGCAAATCTACTGTGGGGGCTGCTGTGATGCAAGTAGCCCACGCAATCAAAGATCTGCTGATATCAAGGGTAGTGACCCTGGGAAATGTGCAGGTCATAGTGGATGGCTTTGCTGCAATGGGATTCCCTAACTGTGGTGGGGCTATAGACGGAACCCATATCCCTATCTTGGCACCGGAGCACCAAGCCGCCGAGTACATAAACCGCAAGGGGTACTTTTCAATAGTGCTGCAAGCTCTGGTGGATCACAAGGGACGTTTCACCAACATCAACGTGGGATGGCCGGGAAAGGTGCATGATGCTCGCATCTTCAGGAACTCTGGTCTGTTTCAAAAGCTGCAGGAAGGGACTTTATTCCCAGACCAGAAAATAACTGTTGGGGATGTTGAAATGCCTATATGTATCCTTGGGGACCCAGCCTACCCCTTAATGCCATGGCTCATGAAGCCGTACACAGGCAGCCTGGACAGTAGTCAGGAGCTGTTCAACTACAGGCTGAGCAAGTGCAGAATGGTGGTAGAATGTGCATTTGGACATTTAAAGGCACGCTGGCGCAGTTTACTGACTCGCTTAGACCTCAGCGAAACCAATATTCCCACTGTTATTACTGCTTGCTGTGTGCTCCACAATATCTGTGAGAGTAAGGGGGAGACGTTTATGGCGGGGTGGGAGGTTGAGGCAAATCGCCTGGCTGCTGGTTACGCGCAGCCAGACACCAGGGTGGTTAGAAGAGCACAGGAGGGAGCGGTACGCATCAGAGAAGCTTTGAAAACCAGTTTCATGACTGGCCAGGCTACGGTGTGAAAGTTCTGTTTGTTTCTCCTTGATGAAACCCCCCGCCCCTTGGTTCACTCTACTTCCCTGTAAGCTAACCACCCGCCCTTCCTCCCTTCAATCACCGCTTGCAGAGGCAATAAAGTCATTGTTGCTTCACATTCATGCATTCTTTATTCATTCATCACACAAATAGGGGGATGACTACCAAGGTAGCCCAGGAGGGGTGGTGGAGGAGGGAAGGAAAATGCCACACAGCACTTTAAGCACAGCACTTTAAAAGTTTACAACTTTAAAATTTATTGAATGACAGCCTTCTTTTTTTTGGGCAATCCTCTGTGGTGGAGTGGCTGGTTGGCCGGAGGCCCCCCCACCGCATTCTTGGGCGTCTGGGTGTGGAGGCTATGGAACTTGGGGAGGAGGGCGGTTGGTTACAGAGGGGCTGCAGTGGCAGTCTGTGCTCCAGCTGCCTTTGCTGCAGCTCAACCATACACTGGAGCATACTGGTTTGGTCCTGCAGCAGCCTCAGCATTGAATCCTGCCTCCTCTCATCACGCTGCCGCCACATTTGAGCTTCAGCCCTGTCTTCAGCCCGCCACTTACTCTCTTCAGCCCGCCACCTCTCCTCCCGGTCATTTTGTGCTTTCCTGCACTCTGACATTATTTGCCTCCACGCATTCGTCTGTGCTCTGTCAGTGTGGGAGGACAGCATGAGCTCGGAGAACATTTCATCGCGAGTGCGTTTTTTTTTTCTTTCTAAGCTTCACTAGCCTCTGGGAAGGAGAAGATCCTGTGATCATTGAAACACATGCAGCTGGTGGAGAAAAAAAAAGGGACAGCGGTATTTAAAAAGACACATTTTATAAAACAGTGGCTACACTCTTTCAGGGTAAACCTTGCTGTTGACATTACATATATAGCACATGTGCTTTCGTTACAAGGTCGCATTTTGCCTCCTCCCACCGCGTGACTACCCCCTCAACCTTCCCCCCTCCCTGTGGCTAACAGCGGGGAACATTTCTGTTTAGCCACAGGCAAACAGCCCAGCAGGAATGGGCTCCTCTGAGTGTCCCCTGAAGAAAAGCACTCTATTTCAACCAGGTGACCATGAATTATATCTCACTCTCCTGAGGATAACACAGAGAGATAAAGAACGGATGTTGTTTGAATGCCAGCAAACATACACTGCAATGCTTTGTTCTACAATGATTCCCGAGTACATGTTACTGGCCAGGAGTGGTAAAGTGTCCTACCATGAAGGACGCAATAAGGCTGCCCTCCCCAGAAACCTTTTGCAAAGGCTTTAGGACTACATCTAGGAGAACCGCAAATGCCAGGGCAAAGTAACCCTTTCACATGCTTGCTTTTAAACCATGTATAGTATTTTAAAAGGTACACTCACCAGAGGTCCCTTCTCCGCCTGCTGGGTCCAGGAGGCAGCCTTGGGTGGGTTCGGGGGGTACTGGCTCCAGGTCAAGGGTGAGAAACAGTTCCTGGCTGTCGGGAAAACCGGTTTCGCCGCTTGCTTGCTGTGAGCTATCTACAACCTCCTCATCATCATCATCTTCTTCGTCCCCAAAACCTGCTTCCGTATTGCCTCCATCTCCATTGAAGGAGTCAAACAACACGGCTGGGGTAGTGGTGGCTGAACCCCCTAAAATGGCATGCAGCTCATCATAGAAGCGGCATGTTTGGGGCTCTGACCCAGAGCGGCTGTTCGCCTCTCTGGTTTTCTGGTAGGCTTGCCTCAGCTCCTTCAGTTTCACGCGGCACTGCTTCGGGTCCCTGTTATGGCCTCTGTCCTTCATGCCCTGGGAGATTTTGACAAAGGTTTTGGCATTTCGAAAACTGGAACGGAGTTCTGATAGCACGGATTCCTCTCCCCAAACAGCGATCAGATCCCGTACCTCCCGTTCAGTCCATGCTGGAGCTCTTTTGCGATTCTGGGACTCCATCATGGTCACCTGTGCTGATGAGCTCTGCATGGTCACCTGCAGCTTGCCACGCTGGCCAAACAGGAAATGAGATTCAAAAGTTCGCGGTTCTTTTCCTGTCTACCTGGCCAGTGCATCTGAGTTGAGAGTGCTGTCCAGAGCGGTCATAATGGAGCACTCTGGGATAGCTCCCGGAGGCCAATACCATCGAATTGTGTCCACAGTACCCCAAATTCGAGCCGGCAACGTCAATTTAAGCGCTAAGCCACTTGTCAGGGGTGAAGTAAGGAAATCGATTTTAAGAGCCCTTTAAGTCGAAATAAAGGGCTTCATTGTGTGGACGGGTGCAGGTTTACATCGATTTAACGCTGCTAAATTCGACCTAAAGTCCTAGTGTAGACCAGGGCTAAGAGGGGATATGATAGAGGTCTATAAATGGTTTGAATAGAGAATTATTTACCCTTTCACATAACCAATAAATTAATAGGCAGTCGTTTTAAAACAAACAAATGGAAGTACTTCTTCACATAACAGACAGTCAACCTGTGGAACTCATTGCCAGGGGACATGGTGAAACCCAAAAGTCTGATTGGGTTAAAAAAGAATTTGATAAGTCCATGGAGGATAAGTCTATCACTGGCTATTAGCCAAGATCATGGTCACAACCTCATGCTCTTGGCATCCCTAAACCTCTGACTGCCAGAAGCTGGAACTGGATGAAAGGGGATGGATCACGCAATAATTGCTTTTTCTGTTGTCTCTTTGAAGCCACTGACATTGGCCACTGTCAGAAGACAGGATGCTGGGCTAGATGGATAATTGGTCTGACCCTGTATGCCCCTCTTACATTATTATGAGATAGCACACACTAAGTAATGGTTAGGGGCAGCAATATTCATGTGCTTTCCTTGTATCCAGTCCGTGCTGATAGCAAAGGCTGTTAAGGAAATGCTTTAGATCCAAAGCTGTGATACAGCCAACTGTAATCTTGTAGGATGGTAATAGTCTGCCTTTCTTGCAGCACTGATTCATGCAGCTGATCCTGACGCTCGAGGAGAGAGGTTAAAGCTGGTAGTGGGGACTTGGATTGAGATTTTACAAAGAGGTCCAATTCTTAGACTTCTTTGAATACTAATTTAAAAAATCGCACAGCAAGATACGATTAACATCCTCCCCACTCCAAAAACCTCCTTATACGATAAAGTTAAGAAACAAAACTGGACTCATTAATATCATACTTGTAGGGGAGATTGCATTATCTGTACTGCAGAAGCCTTTACATTGTTTAAGATTTTGTTTATGGTATCTCAAGTCCGTCCTTTGCTTGTTTAATTATTTGTGTCTAATAATACGATACATGGTTCCCTAATAATTAGTGAACTGCAAAATTATAAAATATAAGAGAGAGCTTCTTTAACTTCATAGAATCTTTTTCTCCCCCCACAAACAGCTGCAGAAGAATTGCCTCCTTCTACTATCTAGTGTCAGGATCCTTCAAGATGTTCCATTTAACAGGTAAGTGACAACCCAGTAAATTGAAATAGGATGTCAAGCAGCATATCAAATATTTGGAACAAAAGTTTGATTTTCTCTCTTTTTTTTTTATCATAACTTTCATCTTTAAATTTCTTTTGGGGCTCCTCAATTAACTAGACTTCTGAATTGTCATTCAGAAATTTTAGATTTGCTTCCTAGGGCCTGATTTTTGCTTACAGTCTCATAAACTGCAAGTAACTCCACTGAAGCTGATGGTGTTACATTTGTACAAAGCTGGTGAGAGATCAGACTGGCAGAAAAATCTTGGCCCAATTGACGTCAATGGCAAAATTCCTGTTGACTTTGGAAGGGCCAACACTTCAAGGTTTCTAGCTCCCTGGACATGTTCATCTGCTGGAGGCGGGGGGAGGGATAGCTCAGTGGTTTGAGCATTGGCCTGCTAAAGCCAGGGTTGTGAGTTCAGTCCTTGAGGGGGCCATTTAGGGATCTGGAGCAAAAATTGGGGATTGGTCCTGCTTTGAGCAGGGGGTTGGACTAGATGACCTCCTGAGGTCCCTTCCAACCCTGATATTCTATGATTCTATGATAGGCAGTTGTCTTGTATTTGACTTCAGTGATCTTTCTTATCTGGCAATGGTGTTAATACACTATTGATGACGTTGTGTGCAGCGTTTTGGTAGCCATGGCGGTCCCAGGACAGTAGAGAGACAAGGTGAGCGAGGTAATATCTTTTATTGGAACAACTGTTGGTGCGAGAGACCAGCTTTCGAACTACACAGAGCTCTTTCTCATGTCTTCCTGAAGAAGAGTTCTGTGTAGCTTGAAAGCTGTTGTCTCTCACCAGCAGAAGTTGGTCCTATAAAAGATATTACTTCACCCACCTTGTCTCTCCATGGATGACATTGGCAGTTGACTGCCTGGAGGGAGGAATGGGGTGAAGGAAGCAGAAGGTGCAAGTGGAGGATCCTTTTCTCTGACAGGAAGAAAGGGAAACCTTTCTTCAGATGGGGAGAGGGCGTTTGCTGGTAGTTCTCCTCTTAGTAACAAAAGGCCTCACTCATGCATTAATAATGAGTTATTTACTGTTGCTCACTTACTCATTTTTTAGATAACCTTTTAAAACTATTGGATCCTTCTTAGTATCTTGCTTGTCGCCTGATCAAAGGCTGCTCTAAATTAGTCTTTGTTATTGCCCGTTTTTGGGGGTGGGGAGGATATGCAAAAAATAGGCTTGTGCTTTTCTATCCTTTGGAAACTAAGCATGTTTCCTTCAGTTTCCAGAGGTCAATATGAGAACCCTAGAGTCTGAGATGCAAGATGAAATTTAAATGTTGTATAACTTACACTCTGCTGTCATAATCTAGGTTTGAAGCTGCCAAACTTGTTATGCAGTGGCTGTGTAACCATGAAAATCAAAATATGCAGAGGATGGCGGTGAATATAAGCTCTATTCTAGCTTTGAAGGTATGTGACTTAAATTTGGAAACGTTAAAACTTCTGTTTCCTAATTTCCAACAGATATTTCAGATACTAATGTGACATTATTTACTTGCAGCTTTCATCTGAGCAAACAGCCCAACTTAGTGCAGAGCTCTACGTCGTTGTGGGGGTGAGTTGCACATCTCTGTGACATTCTTTATTACCAGGTATTAAACCAACATCATGTGAGAAATGACTCAGTTCTGAGCAACCCACATTTGTACAGCACAGAGCGTGATTGGGCTTAAGGTCTTTTGGTGCTTTCACAATATCGATACGAATTATTACTAATGTCTGCAACGAGACTCAAAACCAAAATCTAACACCTCATTTTTTGCTTTTTCCTTTACAGGAACTTCTTGAAATAGTTGAACAGAAAACAAATTTGAATGAAGTAGATACTACTTTCATGTTTACCCTTAGTGCGCTTTGGAATCTCACTGATGAATCCCCTACCACGTGTAGGCACTTCATTGACAACCAAGGGTTAGAACTCTTCATGAGAGTTTTAGAGGTGAGGGTGTGACTGATTGTGGTAGATTGCTAGCATACATTGAAACTCTATTTAATGATTACCTTTGTTTGTCTTCACAGTGTTTTCCATCTGATTCATCTATACAACATAAAGTTCTTGGCCTTCTGGTAAGATCAAAATCAAGCTCTGTTTCAAAAGAAACATTAGTTTTCTATTGCTTTCTTCTATTTAACATAGTTAGGAAATACCTGGAGGGCATGTTAACTTCATTTAGTAAAAAGAGATTTTCTCCCTTAAAATTTAAGAGTATCAGCTTGTATCCTTAGGCACTAAGTTTCTTAGCATCACTTTTACATTACACTGATGATTTTCTGAAAACCAGTTTACAGTACATGGATTAAAATAGGAACAACCATTCAGTAGTCAAGGCATTTCCCTCAATACTTCCGCAAAGGTTAGGGGGGCAAGTGAAATGAGTACAAGTACCCAAAAAAAGATAAAGGTCCAATTCTGCAACTGCTGAACTCGATGGCAAAACTCTTCTTAAATTCTGGATTGGACTCAAAATTAACTAATGTAACAAAATATGAACTGTAGGTCAGGGTTTGGTGGTGTGTGGTTTTTTTTGCTTCAGTTTGATTTTCAGGTATTGAAGCTTTCAGAGAAACAACTGTGTTGTGATAGAAAATGGGAGGTATAAGGCCCATCATCCTTCAGAAAAAAATTATTTACTTATTGTAATGCTTATTAATGTTGTATAGGCTGTTTATCTTGTGCACACTGATTTTTTTTCACCTATTCTGTCTTACAGAACAATGTAGCAGAAGTGAGAGAGCTTCAGTCTAAACTAATGTGGAAGGACTTCATAGACTGTCTTAGTGAATTATTGTGTAGTGCTGAGATAGAAGTCAGTTTCTTTTCAGCTGGGATTATTGCTAATTTACTATCTAGAGGAGAGCAGGCCTGGACACTGAGTCAAACCCAAAGAAAATCTCTGATTGAACAACTGGTACGCTGGCTAAAACTGATACCCTAGTTTTATTCTAGTACAGTGCTTGCACTGTTTACTGTAAATATTATAATATTTAGTTTTGTCTCTTTACAGCATTCAACCATTTTGAAGTGGCCAGCACCAAAATGTAAGATGATAGCATTGGTTGCCTACAGGTAACGAATTTGGAATAATGTCTTGACGATATTAACTCTTGTACTGTTTCTGAAGTTTGTCTACTTATTGTAGTCCTGCTGCTAACCTCTTCACCCTAAATGTTCTCCTGCATGGAACGCTGCTTTTGTGGCAGATTTCTTGGACATGTTTGTGTAGGGGAGGAAAGCCATTTTGGAGCCTGCTGAAATACTGTTCTGAGTAGTTCTAACCAGCTAAAATAACAAATACCATTCACTGGAACCAGATTTGGGTCCTGCACCTATGACTTCAACATCCCAAGCCTTTTTTTTAGGAGCATATAAATTGCTATGCTGCATTACACTGGTGGTTTATAGTCTAGTATCCTCTGTGAGAGTGCCCAGTACTTCCAGATGTTTTAGAGGAAGTTGCAAGATACCCCGAGCTGAAAATTTATAGAACAATTGGGCTGTTAAAGGATGTTTTTGCCTAACTTCTGTCCGTTAGAAATTGGCTTAAATCCTGAAGCATGTGGCTTTCTCTTTTTAAAATAATAAAAACAACCACAACCTAATGTAATTGTGGCTGCTCCCATTAGCCATATGGCTGTCTTAAAGCTTTATAAATCCTGCCAAGGCATTAGCCTCTCATGAATGAGTTCCATAGGTTACTCTTGTTGAGGTGTTTTTTTTTTTTTAATTTTCCTTGAATTAGTATTAATGGCTTTCAGTTTTGTCCCCTTTTTTCTTATTTAGAGTATACATGGGAATGTGATTTTTTTTTCCCATATGCTATTAATTATTTTATATATCTTTATCCCTTCTTGTTCATCTATGATCTAAACTAAACAATCCCAATCTCTTTCTGTATGGAAGTTTTTCCATGCCTCTCATCACTTCTTACCTATTTACAGAATCCTATAAATGTATGGCTAGAAGGGACCTTGAGCGGTCATCTAGTCCAGCCCCATGTGCTGAGGTAGGACCAAGTAAACTAGACCACCCCAACAAATGTTTGTCTAATCCGTTCTTAAAGACCTCTGATGATGGGGATTCTACAACCTCCCTTGAAAGCCTATTCCAGAGCTTGAACTATCCAAGTTTTTCCTATCTAACCTAAATCTCCTTTACTGTAGATTAAGTCCATTACTACTTATCCTACCTTCATGGACATGTAGAACAACTGATCACCGTCCTCATTATAACAGCCTTTAACATATTTGAAGACTATTCTCAGGTCCCTCCTCTGTCTTCTTTTCTCAAGACTAAATATGTCCAGTTTTTTTTAACCTTTCCTCATAGGTCAGATTTTCTAAACCTTACATAATTTTTGTTGCTCTTCTCTTGACACTCTCAAAATAGTCCATATCTTTCTAAAGTGTGGTGCCTAAAACTGAACACAGTACTGCAGCTGAGGCCTCACCAGTCCTAAGTGTAATAGCCTTACCTTCTGTGTCCTACATATGGCCTACGTTCTCTGTAACTCCAGTCTTTACCTCATGATTTGAAGACTTCAGTAACTCAACCAGAGGTTAGAAGTCTATTACAGGAGTGGATGGTTGAGGTTCTGTGGCCTGCAGGACGTCAGAGTAGATGATCATGATGATCCCTTCTGGCCTTAAAGTCTGAGTCTGTGTGACACTTCCATTAATTCAGCCCAGAATATTAGTCTTTTTTGCAACTGACCACATCTAGATCACATTTCCTTAGCTTTTTTTTATGAGAATGTCACATGGGACTGTGTCAAAAGCCTTAATATAAAATCAAGATGTATCATGTCTGCTTCCCCCCATATCCGCTACACCAGAAATTATGTCAAACAGGGGAATTAAATTGGTTTGGCACACTTCGTTCTTGTCAAATTTACTTTTACAGGGCATTTACTTACCCTGTTGTTCCCTCTGTGTTTACAAATCTATTGTTTAATAATTAATTTCAATATCTTTCCAGGTGTCAAAGTTAGGCTGACTGTTCTGTAATTCCCTGGGTCCTCACCAATCCTCCATGAGTTCTGGAAGATAATTGCTTATGAAATACTTTTATTGCTGCTGCTATTAGAGAGTGACTAGAACTAGCCACAGTATTCCAGAGGAGGGTCTACCATTGACTTCCATAATAATGTAATAATGGTATTACAGTGTCTTCAGTAGTACTTTCCTATCCCTTTTGATACACAGCCTCCCTCTTTAGTCACTTTTTTGACTGCCACACTTGATTTCTGGGGTGTTTAATATTTAATGCAGAATCCAACAATGTGTATGAGAATACCTGAAGCTTAACGTGCAGAGACAGCATAGTTACTCTGAAATAAAGGTATCCAGTATCACCATGACTTTGCCAAATATATTTCTCTTTTTAACCCATAGATCCCTTAGTCCTTTCTATCCATTACTTGACTGCTTCACAATATCGGGGGTTCAGCTGTGGGCAGTGTGGGCCATGCAGCATGTCTGCTGTAAAACTCGTATGTATTCAACTTTACAGTTTAATCTTTTGATATGAAATTGGATGGTTCGCATTTTCACTCATAAGCTTGTTGGATAAGTACTTCAAAGTTTAAGTCATTCTTTGCTGATCTCTTATTCATATAGGGTTTATTTTGGATATTAAACAGTAGTCCCATTACATTCAATGACTCAAAACATTGTAACAAGCTGTTTTTAATAAAACTAGTTTGATTCAAAATCCTGTTCCAGGTAATCTGAAAAATGTTGACCCTCCCCTCTATACTTAACAATGTTATTACTCTACTCTAAGGGTGGTATTTCCAAAAGCACTTGGTGTTAGCATTATTCTGCCATCATTAAAGTCGTCATAAATGGGAACAGTCAATCCAATGCTGAGTACTATTTAAAATCCTATGTAATATTGTGCATGTCAATTTAACTGCATCACTAATTATGTAGTCTAAATATTGGCTGAAGTCAGAGGCAGGATAACTGGATTAGTTAACACTTTCTCCTAATGTAAGTTGTCATTTTGACACTCTCTTGGCAAAGTCCCTAATAAAGATGCACACACTCTCTTTCATTTCAGCTGCCAGGTACTGTAGCATGTTAATTGAAGAAGGTGGCTTGCAGCACTTGTATGACATCAAAGAAAACAATCAGACTGATCCAGATGTCCTGCGAATCAACAGTGAGATACTAGACACTGTAGAGACACACATGATGTACTATGGGAGACCTAAAGGTTTAAAGAAGCCACAAACCAAATCAAATGGATAGTTGTAGGTATAACTCTAATTTTTCCTTTGTTAAAATCCTTCACAAACTGTACTGAGAATATTTGGTACTGCTGATCACTGCTTAAGATGGGCATTCCTATAACAGTACTGCTGCTTGCGTTGAGGAGGGCTTGTACAGCCAGAGTCCTCTAGGAATGGCTCATTTTGTGACTTGACTTTTGAGGTGGGACATCATGAGGCTTTGGGATAGATTTTTAAAGGTATTTAGGTGCCTAAAGATGTAGATAGGTGTGTAGATTCTTCTGAAAATCCCACCAGATGCTTATCTGCATCCTCAGTTGCCTAAATACATTTGAAAATCTGGCTCTTCACACCCTTCAGTTACTGTTTGGAAACTGCTCCCATTTGGTTAGTCAGGCAGGGTTTGAACAGAATGCTATGTGCTTGCAAGTCAGCATTTTTACACTCAAGTCTTTGTGCTCACTTCTCACTGTGACCAAAGCGTGCCAAGGGCCATCCCCAACTGAATCTTCAAAGTCACTTGTTCTGTTTCTTGTAAGCTGTGTCCCCTTTTCTAGTCTTGCCAACGCTGGACCACTGTCCTGTTCTTTCCATGCCGCATCAACAATGTTTGAAATGATATTTGTGGTGTAGAAAGGAATAACTGGATCAGCTCCACTATTGGTATGCAATAGGAACAGCAGGAGAAAACTTTAAAAATTAATCAAAAGTTTGGAGTAGAGAGCTTCTGCACACCCTCACCAAAAAAACAAAAACAAACCAAACATGAAACTCAGTGGTAAGAAAATACCTGAGATTACCTGTTTCCAATATAGTACACAGAATATTTGGTCTCCTTACAGGCAGACTAACTATTGCTTTAGTGTTTCCAAATTGTCTTGAGCAGTGCACACACTTTCCCACTGACTTTAGTGGGAATGAAATACAGGTCATGGGAGGGCAGAATCTGACTGTGTTGTGCAGTGAACTATATCCCCAAAGAAGTATAGTCCAAAATATCACCAATGTTCTGTGTAAATCCTATTGCTATGAAATTGTAAATTTAAAATGTAACTATAACGGGAGTCTTCCGAAGGCTTTTTTAAGTTTTCATATAATAAAATATAAAAAGCAGGCCTAAGAGTAGCACTTACACATGTGTGGAAATAGTTCTGTTGAAAGAAATGGAGACTGTGCAACATGCAAGCGTCTTGATTAAAGTGTAATCGTTGAAGTAAATGGTGCCATGAATTCAGGTTTCTATTGTTTCATTGTTCAATAAGTGTCAACTTTCTGGAAAGAATATGTGGGTGAGGTTGCTCTGCACTGTTTGAGTACTGGGAAATTCCAGTGTGGTTTCCCTTCCCTTAATCAACTCATCTCACCTCCTCCCCCCCCCCGCTTTTTTTTTTTAATTCACATCAAAGTACAGTAAAAATCCATCACACTTACATGGTGATGCTGGATGTTTTATATATTTATCTTTATCCAAGGTAGTTAAGTGAATTTTATCAGATTTACTTGTCCCACTGTTTATTTCAGGTGAGTCAACTTTCATTTTCAGAGTGTTAGAAATCTAAGTATTACAGCTTTAGTAGTATAGGACATTCTTTAACTGGTTAATTGAAATTATTTAAGTCTTTCAATTGTTAAGAGTCTTTAATTAAATTTATTTGGGGGCATGGTTTTTAAAATTCCAGAGCTCTGCTCCTAGAAGCTACTGTAGCAATTTCAAACACCTAGCTAGGAACCAGGGAACTATCAATTTGTGAATTTTTTTTTAAAGCAGTGTAGCTAGCTGCCTATTATTAACTATGTATTCCAGCTCTTGTCTCATACTCCTAGAATTTAGTGACGTGGGTGTACACTATATTTCTCGTTGGCAACTTCAAACTGAGTAAAGTAGTTTCAGGTACTACTCCTGCTCCTGCCAAGTTGATATTTTTTAAAGTAGAAAAATGTTAGTGAAAATATTTTGTTCGTTTTTTTTTTTTTTTTTAAAAAAGGGAAATATTTACATAGAAACTTCTGGTTATATTATTACAGCAAGTTACTGGTCCTTGCCAGCACCAAGTACGTCATAGCAAACCACGCAAATAAAGGCACAGAGTTTATTTGTGGTTTACATACAATACAAAGAGGAAACATAAAATAACTTTGCATTCCAAAAATTGATAATGAGTTCTGAAATTAATTTAGGCCAGATCCCGTAACAAATAGCAGTATATGCTTTCCCTTTCAGGCCTGAACACCTACATGTACTAGGCCAAATAAGTTTCTGTTGTAATTACAAGCAGGTGTAGTGCCCACTTAAAATGAACTGAGATCAAATTCCTTCAGCTGGACCACTGTACTGGTCTTTCATTCATTGTGTACCTGTTCTGGATTTGGACCTGTAGCAAAGGGCTCTCTCTCCTGACAGCGTAGTGTACAATCCCAGTCTCTCACATGACTTTAGTCATTCATAGCCTTACCAGTCTAAAAAGCCTTATTTTTTTGTTAATGAAACTATTCAATACCTTAATTATCCTTGTAAAACTGTCTCCTATGGAGTGTCCAGGAATGTAGCAGTGTCCATGGCAAAGAATTAAGCTTATAGAATTCAATATTTAACAATTTCAATAAGTTTAAGGTTCTGCACCTCCATTTTACTTCCTAAAGAATCATGCCCTGGAATAAGGAAATCCTTGGAGGGCTATTCCCCAATAAACTGGGGTGGACGTTTCTCTCTGAAGGCAGCCATCCCTTCCTGGCGGTCTCTTGTAGGAATATTCTGCATTAAAATAAAAAAGCAGTTTCTTTTGTAAAGGTAGGCAGCCAATACTGAATTAAAATCACTGTCAATATACTTAGACGTAAAAGCTTTTATGGATATTAAATCAACATCTCAGAAGTAAGGAGGTCAACTGCCACATCTTACAAAGAGGAAAAGGTTAAATAACTTTCAGTGTAGGGCACAGCACATGAGTACCGGATACAGTCCAATGGACAATGCCATTGAATTTAAGGGAACTGTCCTCTATTACGTATAGGAAGATCCATAAGCCCAAAATAACTCATTGTGAGGATACAAAGAAAATATTGCATGCTCCTGAAATATTGTTTTCAACCTAACCAGAAAATACATACAGGCAACAGGAATCTAGTGTCCAACTCAACCAGCCCCAAACCATCACAATGTAAGGGCCCATGCTAGAAATTGTATATGTGGGTACATATGGCTAAATTTAGTTAAACATGCAATTCTTTTTCAGTAAGATGATCAAGTTAGGGCTTTGGTGGACCAAGTTCAGTCTGAGGTAGGTGCAGGAGTCCAACTAGCATTCACGGGAACCCTGTTAATGGGAATGTAAAACTTAGATCCATGTTTAAGGTCTTGCTTATACAAGAAAGTTATTGTGGAATAAGTCAGGGTGTGAATTTAAAACAGAACAGTTATTCTGCAAAGTCTGTGTGGACACTCTTATTCCAGAGTAAGTGTGTGCCTTTTTGTGATTTAAGATTAATCCACTTCTGAATTAGTTGAACTGATTCAGAGTAAGAGTGTCCATAGATGAGGTTATTGCAGGAAAGTTATTCTGTAATAGCTACAATATAGACAAGCGCTAAGGGACTTCAGTAAGTTTTCAAATGTTTGTATGAGTTTTAGCCATTAAACTTCTTATCTCATGTAAGTTGTGAGGCTATTACAGTACTTAGGAAATGTACAGTGTGATTTAAAAAAAAAAAACCACAAAAAACAGCACAACATACCTGCGCATAACACATTCCCTCAATAGCCATCCCCGATGCAATATCCACCTGAAGGGAAGAAGTGATCTCTGAAGTACACAGCATTCAAACTGCAGTACACTTTTGAGTATTTTCCATGATTAAATGTCAGAGTTAGTATTAAATTACTAACTCTAACCCTAGCATTACTGTTCTAGTATTTACAGCGAACACAGAGTCCGAATCCTGCTCTACCACACTGTTAATTTTGTTCATGCCTCAGGAGCCAATCTTACAAAGAGACTGATCCCTTATTGAAAACAGCGATTAGAATCTGTTTACAGAACTTTCTTCGACTGTTCTAAACATTTTTATTGCAGTTTTATGAATGGCTCTTAAATTTTTTGCTTCATTGAATATTTCATAAACATTCTCTTGGCAAAAAAAAAAAGTTACCTCTATCCCTCTGTTTATTGCCAGTTTACCCATTTTCACAGCTATGGGAGCCTTTAAAACAAAAAAGATAACTGAAGTCAACAAACTTAAAAGTCAAAGTCAGTTATTCACCCAGCTTTTTCCAAAGACGGTCTCTTGTCTTCAGGAGTTTGCAGTAAAGCTAATACTATATATTGCCAAAAAAGCTAAGACTGTCTACAGTTCATAATAGAATGTACTTTTAAGTATTCAAGCCAAAGTTTTCAGACTTGAGTGCCTAAATATGCATTCTTGCCTACATACATGGCCTGATTTTCAGAGGTGCTGAGCACCCACCGCTTGCACTGAAACAGCAGTAGTGCTAAGTACCACTGCAAGACAAATTAGCAAGACAAAAATCAGCAGATTGAAAGTCATCACTTTTAGGGCTGGATGTGTACAGTGCCACCACTTTAGAGAGAGTAGTCCCAGTACACTTATTTCAAACAGTGTATGCTGGTCATACGTGTTTGATGCACAGAACAATAGTGTCCTAATGCTAAGGAACCATTAGCTATGTCTCCTACCATTCCTCATAGAAGTAAAATACAACAGCTAATGCAGTGGGAGAACATTAAGGCTATTTTGATGTAGTCATTCATATCCCATTCATGAAGAGGAAACAAAAATAAGTTCTGTTTCTCATACTGAATTTCAAAGATCTGATTTTCAAAGCTTGCCTCCTTTTTGCTGCTGTAAGCGATGACACCTAGAGGTCTGATTGTGCCCATAAGTCAGCTAGTAGATGTCTACATTGCATCATTTGCACTTGCACTGAATTGAATCTGCTAAGAGAGTGAGTGGGCTGAAGATGCTTTAAGAAAAATAAGTCCCCCAAGATTTCAGTATTTCATGGAAAGAGTTAAGAAGCTAGCCATGTCCCACAAAGTAGCCAAAACACCTTCTATAGATGAAACACATGAGCCAAATAAACAATACTGACCTGAGGAACAATTTCTTTAGCTAAGGTTAATGCTCTCTGGTAAGCAGCATCCCCTTCATCATTCTGTGGCACTGTGTGGTTTACTAATCCTATTGAGAGTGCTTGTTGTCCATCAATCTGTCTGCCAGTGAAAATGAGTTCCTTAGCAAGACCTATTCCAATACAGCGGGGCAGGCGTTGGGTTCCACCTTAAGACAATATACCACATTATGCTTTTCTGAGAAACAAATAGCGAAAACCACTCCAATATATTTTACCTGTTTATACATGTGAAAAAAATGGTGTTTTAATAGTACTAGTAGTAACATGCACTATAGCCCCTGTCATCTGAGAAGCTCAAGATTTTACACATTAGGTCACAGCACCTTGGTGGAGTGAACAAGTATTCACACATTGTATAAAGGGTGAAATGGTCTACCAACCTAAGATCACTGGAAGTCAGTAGCAGAGCTCAGACAAACTGCAATTGAGACTCCCAGCTCCTTGCTCTGACTACTAGATAACACTTCCTTTGTTATAAAAGGATTTTCATCAAGTACAGCCCTACAGTAAAATTCACATTTAGCTGTAAAAATACCAGAAGATTTAATGAAGCTAGGTTACCTGCACCAGGAAGAAGTCCTCTTGTGGTCTCAATCAGGCCCATTTTAGCTGATGAAGCTATTTTTAAATAAATTTTTTTAAAAAAATTATTTTCTCACAACAGAAGATAGCTGTTAACATTACTAAGATCATTTTCTCTCCAAGAATGCCAGTGGCTGAATCCCACTAGAGTCAATGGTGTCAAGTGGCTAAATTCCTTTCACACTAAACATACATCATTTTGTATTGAAAGGTATCAAAAATGTAACTAAAATGAGTGTGCCTGCAGTGATTAGTCACATTCTGCGATTTCTGTGGACATGCTTATGACTGGGGCATACCATTTGCTAAGCAAACTAGAGCTACGGATCTTGGCGTAAACACTTTTCTGACACACGCGTTTGTTCCATAAAAAGAAAAGGTAAATTGATTCCAGCTTTTGCTGAATAAAAGTGTTTCTGCTTATCTACCACCTTAGCACCAGCTGGAAAGTGACCTCTGTGCAAAGTGGATCTTTAGCATTCATTCATTCTGGGCATCTTGCAGCTAGACTCCATTCTCAATTGCAGATTAGCCTCAAATATTATTTCTTATTGCTTTGAGGTGTCTGTTATACAATCAGAACATTTCTCTTTTAAAGCAGCATTAAGTTACCAAACAGCCATCTTGGGAGATTTCAGGAATAAGATGGGCCAGGTTACTACATTAACTTCAGGTAGCCAGAGAGGATGGGTGCTACAGTCAACCAACCCCAACTACAAGTTAGGTGGAGATGAGCCTAGACTTAAATATCCTTTGTAGCTGACTGCTTCCAGGAAATCTGGCATTATTTTCCCAGGAAAAAGGGAACTAAGGGCGTGATATGAAGATTCAGAAGGGAGGGAGGAATTAAAGCATTTTGCTAACTTTTTTTAAAAACCTCACCCATTAATTTATATGCCATGTTTACTCGAGATATTAAGTATTTTCATATTAAGCAATAAGGAGGAAATCCGGTAGCACTATAAGAGTTATGTGGGGACACTTATTCCAAAGGCAGGGTGCACTGAAGAAGTTGCAGTACCTCAATGGGCTGGGAGCCTCTAGAAGAGATTCTTACTCCTCCTGAAATGGATGCAAGTGGGGAGGAGGTTTTGGTTCTCTCTGACTTAGTCTTGGAATTAGCCTGACATCACCTTGTGCAGGTCACTAGGTGATAAAGTAAAAGTGTCATAATTCAGCTTGCCACATGATCTGAGATAATGGAGCTGTTCTGAAAAGAAATAGGTCTCTGATCTTGTGCAAGTTACGAGTACATAGGGATGGCCCAGTCCCTCTGTTGATGTACTTTCTAAAGGGTCTGTTCTCTCTCATCAGTGTGCAGGGACCTCACTGCCAAAAGTAGGTTAGACCAAACCAGGGCTGATAAGGGGTATATGGTTAATGCCCAATAAACCTGCTGTTAGTGGGCATTAGCCATATACCCCTACCACCAACCAGAGATTAACCCCTTCAAAAAGAATTTTAGTGTCACTCATATTGATACCTCATCTAAAATTGTTTTCCTTTTTAAACAAAAGACATACAGCTTTCTCAAATAGTTAAACATCACCAAAATTTTAGGCAAGTGCCTATTCGTTTAATTCATCACACAAGTTCCTGTCTTAGCTTATCAGAAAAGGAACCAAACAGCCTTTAGCTTACTTTCAAATGTTATTTAATTAAAACCAGTGATTACTTTAAATATCCCATATTTGGCAGTGCACATACCTGCTATTCGAAGATCACACGCTAATGCCAATTCCAATCCCCCACCCAATGCATAGCCTTCTATTGCAGCTATTGTGGGCATAGGCAGTGCAGCTATTAAAGACAAAACAGATTTGAAAGTTTAATTACAGAAGCGGTTTTTCAGTGAGTGTTTCATGTAATTACATCTCAAATGTTCCAAGTTTGATATGTTGCTACAATGATTTCAAATGATACAAGTTGTGCTTTTTTTCCTTCCTCCTCTTTAAAAATGGAGATACATTAAATGTGAACATCCAATTGTTACAATGAAACAATTGTTACAATGAAACAGTCAATGAACAGATTCTACACATTGAGGCACTCTCCACGTTCCATTTTATATGGCTACAAATGGTCAGTCCCCACTGCTGTCCAATTCAGCTGAATATTACATACTGCATTAAGTATGTTTATGAACATTACATAAGCCTCCCTACACTTGTGAGCTAGGTGAGTATCTCTCCCATTTTAAAGTTGGGGAAATCAAGGCACCTAGTTGTCAAGCATCTCTTGCAAAGAAAAAAACAAACAAATCACATTGAGTGAATAGAAAAGTTGGGAACAGAATCCAGAAGTGTTATCTTGAAGTTCCTGGCTCTAACTACTAAACAACATTCCCTCAAACATCCTTTGGTGCTTTGTAACATGAAAGTCCCATTTGGGTACACGTACTTTGTATAATACATTTATCTTCTTCTTACTGTTACTTTGATTGATATTCTAGTCATTCATTTGTCTTTTAAACATCTAGCTAAAATATCTCCGTCCAGGGACAACAGAACAATTCATTAATACAAGAATAGAATTGATTGTTCAGATCCACACTTCTTGTCTAAACAGAGGTAAAATCTTCAGAGGCTAGTCCAACTAGAAATTGACTCAATGATCCAAGCTCCTTTACTATTCTATATAGGTTCTTGTATCACACCCATCCCTGTAGTATCTGAGCACCTTCCAGTATCACGCATTAAGTGACATGACTAACATCTGTCATGTCTGGTTCATTCTTCCATATCCTCTCCCACAGGGGGAGAATTGTGTGTGCTATGAAGTGGTGGTGTTTTTTTTAAGAGTGTATTTGCTGTGCTCATTTCTCCTAGAGCAAGGTAGCTCTAAGAAGTGCACCTTGCACTTGGAGCAGAAGGTGGTCCTTAGAAGGTCTGTGATGGTCCTTAGTTCCTTAGACAGAAGTTCATTCTGCAGTCTCAGACCAGGCCCCAAGAACCATCTCTTGCATGGATGAGTTTTACTCTTTTGGGGTAGGTATCCTTATAAAGTTTCCCTGATATAGCACCACTGACTGCCCCCATGGTGTGGACATATATAGAGATACACGTTTTATAACTCATCATTTACCAATTTCATCCATTAAACTTCTCAGCCTATGAACAAAGTGTCCAACTTCAGTATCATTCATTTGTGCCCGCTCCTTTAAATCAGCGCCTAAAGCGTGAGGAAAACAAAGAATTCAATGATAGAAGAAAGGTAACACAGGCAGTTGAGCAGCAGTGCTTGACGTGGCTATGCAGGAGAGTCAAGTTCAAAAGCAATCTTGGGATGCCAACTCTAAACTACTAGAGCTTAGGTGCAGCATTGCTGGAATTCAAGCATTCAGGCTTTAAGAATGGTTGTGGAGTGCTCTGCTCTGTTGCTGTCTTTGTTAGATAGTTCATAGAGCGGCACCAATTTCTGTGTCTAAGGAGGTTATATCTCAAAATTGCAGGGTGGGGCCTTGCTGTGAGCAGCCCATGGGTCTAAGTGGAAAGAAATGGTAAAATAAAGAGAGAAGGGCTAGTCTTCAGGTGTAGCTTGCTCTGCCTGCTGAGGTCTCAATTTCTAAAGCAGGGAGTTACATATGCCTAGCCAGGACAAGGGAATGGTTTGTTCCTTATTATCCCTGCAAAGTCAAACTGGTTTCTTAAGTTTGTTTTTACATCTATTGCTCAACATAGTCTAATCTGTACAACATAATTTGAAGGTGTCTATTTTTAATATCAAGTGACAGAACATTTGTTACATACCTGCACAAAACACGCCTTTTACTTCACTTTTAAACACTACTACACGGATCCTTTCATCACAACGGAGACTTTCTAGAGCTCTGAATAGCTAAGAGTTTAATCAAGAAGAGGAGTTAAGAAAAACTGAATGTGTCAAGCATATAAATTACTATGCATGTTTAAATGACTGAAGACTCCTATATTTTGGTAAAAGTTTCATTTCCTTCTTCTCTGTGGGCATAAGGATCTCTTAGAAAGCCAGCCTCAGGGATGGCCCATACTACACACATGGTTTCTACAACCCCCTCCTGAAACTCTTAGGATTCTCCTCTTCTCAATCCCATCCACAGAGGTTTTTCTGCATCCCTGACTGTCCTTCCTCTTCAGAGTTGAGCAAGGCTTCCGCTGAAACAGGTCAGTCCCCAATTTGACCAGAGAGGCTGCGTATGCCCAACAAAAAGTCTCCTTTTCCCAGGGACTAAGCTGCTTTTTGACTACTCCCAGCCCCTGCTGGCCTAGGAACAAAGGACATAGCTCTAGTCTCAGACTTGGATCTCACACATGGCACCTCGCTGCAGCAGGTCTAGACCATCAAGCTGAACCCAGCCCAAGTTGTTAGGCCCAAACGATGGACCTACATGGAGAGTTGCTTTGGGGTGAAGTTCTGATACCTTCCAGACCCCTTCCATTTGTTGATTTTTGAAACCCAGTCCTACTGCAGGGTGGAAATTAAGCAAACCAAACACACTTGTTAGTCTAACAGTGAATTTGCACAGGTTCATTCACTAACAGTAAATTGTAAATTTGATTAAAATAAAATAATGTACTGGATACAACAAGGATTAGATTGCCAAAAGTATATACCAGGGAGATTTCTGAAAGTAAGCAAGATGGGACCATTCTCAAGGCACACGTATTTTTTCGTGTAACAATCATAGCAACACCTCTTTAAGTGGAATCATTTAGTGTTGTTACAAAAGCCAGTCAAATCATGCTCCCTATCCAGAATATTTTTGATAGTTCAAAGTTCTCCTCTGTTAGGAGATTAACAACACTAAATTCTTGCTTCTTTCTTTGGTGCATCTCTGATCTGTGAGTTCATTTTCCCTAGCTGACAACACAATATGCTCTAAGTTTTTCCTCTTTGATAGTGGAAATCTGAGATTATGAATGGCCAGGAGCTACTAGTGCCCCAAGATAAGGGGAAGAGGAGACACTGCAGCTCTGGAAGGCACATCCAACAAAAATGTAGCAGTGTCCCCATCTTTGAAATGGAAGCAACTATACTTAACCTATTTTCCAGCCTCTTTAGAGTGGTGAGAATTAGTTTGTCTGTGTAAAGTCTTACACATTAAAAAAATAAAATAAAGCCAAAATAAAAGTGATTGGGTGCTTAAGTTTTCTCTTCTGCAATTACTATGGCCATTTTACTTCTACAGGATACTGTTAGGATATAGATATTCAGGCCTGTCTGTAAAGGCCTATACTCTAAGAATTTAGGTGTATTCTTATCACTTGGCTAATTATAGAGGTATAAAAGAATCAAAACCACTGTCTGCCAGTGTAAGGGCCTTCTCTTACTGTGACAGTTTGTGGCCCTGTGCTTAGGCTCAGGCCTTTGGCTAAGCAGCAGAGGCAGCCATAAGCTGGGAAGCGAACAGTCACATCCTCACATTCCAAACTAGTCACACTGAAATAAGGTGCTATTGGGCTGTTAGGCACTATCAGGACAGGATTGTATTCCTATCACCTCCAGAGAAAGGGAAGTGCCTAGAAAATGTAAAAGGAAACTTAGTTTGATAGCATCCTGTCTGGCAAGAACTCACTTATCAATAGCTGGGATGTGAAATCCTCACTTCTGTGTTGTCTTGTCTTTGTAGTTCCCACTTTGCTATTGTTTGTCTGTATAATCTCTGTCTGGTTCTGTGATTGTTCCTGTCTGCTGTATAATTAATTTTGCTGGGTGTAAACTAATTAAGGTGGTGGGATATAATTGGTAACATAATCATGTTACAATATGTTAGGATTGGTTAGTTAAATTTCAGGAAAATGATTGGTTAAGGTATAGCTAAGCAGAACTCAAGTTTTACTATATAATCTGTAGTCAATGAGGAAGTGACTGGGTGTGGGTGGGCATGTGGGTGTGTGAGATGGGAACAGGGAATGGGGGTAAGAAAATTGGAATCATGTTTTGCTAAAGGGGGAGATGGGAACAGGGAATGGGGGTAAGAAAATTGGAATCATGTTTTGCTAAAGGGGGAAATGGGAACAGGGAATGGGAGTAAGGAAGTTGGAATCATGTTTGGCTAAGGGTAGGAATGAGAACAGGGACACAGGTGTAAGGCTCTGTGGTGTCAGAGCTGGGAAGGAGGATACTAAGGAAGAAAACTGGAATCATGCTTGCTGGAATTTCACCCCAATAAACATCGAATTGTTTGCACCTTTGGACTTCGGGTATTGTTGCTCTCTGTTCATGCGAGAAGGACCAGGGAAGTAAGTGGGTGAAGGAATAAGCCCCCTAACAGATACATTTAGATACTGATCACAATTCTAAACAATGTTTACAGCCTAGAGAAAGACAGGCAGATATACTTACTTCATTAACAAGTACTTTTCCCAGTGAATTTTTGGCATGGGCTCTGTTCATCAGGATTTCAGCAATTCCTTTAGTAAAAAAGAGAGAATTTCAGTTAAATATAAATTGTATCTTTAAACAAAATGTGACATGGCCAGTCTTCTTGGAACAGTCGCCCCAAGTACTGTAACTCTTCCTTCTTGAGACTTTGTATAAAGATTTTTTAAAATATAAAGTAGGCTGCTTAAGTGAGTGAGTTTTAAATGGAACACGCCAGACCACATTTGTGAAAGGCAGCACTACAGAATCATTGCGAGGTTACATAATACTGCAAAAATGTAGATAAATAATCCTTTAACTTAAAAGTGGACCTCTTGTCCAACTTGGCAGTTCCAGGTGTTCTTTGCATTTTTTTAAACCTAAGAACAGAATGGATCCATGTAACAGTTCCATTTTGCATTTTCTGTTTTGCTTTCCTCATACGGTCTTCCTGCTTGGATTAGCTGTTCAGGTATTTTCCTTAATGGAGAAAACCTTCTTCCCATACCAACTGCTTACAGGAGAAGAACAGTGCAAACTGGACAACATCAGTAATGATTCACTGTCTAGAGCCATCTGGAAACTGCAAATCCATTTCTCACAACTAAGCCTTTTGTGTAATCACTAGTTTAAGAACCAGGGGCCTTGCCTTGCTCAAGGTTCTCAAAGTCCAGCCAAAAAAAAAAAAAAGCAACACATTGTCCGTAGAATATTAACATACAGCTTCTCCCTGTGTCATGCTGTTCTTGAAAGAAAACCAGCCTCAGAAGTGAGGTGCTGTAGTGAAGCCATTTCCAAAGTTTTCACTGGTGCAAAGCAGAAAGGGGACATGGGTTCTATTTCCAATACCCCATGCATTCTGTGAGGATGGGCATTAATTACTTCCTCATTTATTTACAGGCATTTCTATTGTGCTCATCACCTTCTCTGAGCTTCTGGTGAGTGAGAATGAATAGGTGTCCCATCATCACAGGATGTTGTGAAGTATCATTATCCCCATTTTACAGCTAGGGAAAGTGAGTTAGAGAGGTGAATTGACTTGCCGAAGGTCACACAGGAAACTTGTAGCAGAGCAAGAAATGGAACCCAGATCTCCTGTCTCCCAGTGACTGACCATTGTGAATGTGTACAATTCCTTTTTTCCTGGTTGGACTCTTACTCCTAATTTCTCTAGTCCTGTCCAGCTCCAAATTTGCTCTATGATCCTGTTGCTGTTGTACATGAAGATGCACAACAAAATATACAATGTTAGTATTTTCTACTACTGCTAGAAGATCTTTACATTTCAACCACTGGTTTGTGACTGGCTAGCTGGTGAGGGATCACCATCGACCAAATGGAAGAGAAAAGTCAGCTAGCAATAAAGGCTTGTACAACAGCTGGCATAGGGCTACAATGGGAGCTAGCACTAGGACAGTTGTACAAAACCAAAAAATTGCAGAAGAAGCTAGAGAACCTGTTTTGCAAATCCCAGAATAAGTTAACCTCCTTGAAAGCTTGTTTTGTGGAAATCTTACCTTATCCTTAAATGGACCTGCAACTCTTCTCCTCCAACCCTAAGGTTATCCTACCTTTATTACTGTACATTACTGACATCAGAAAAAAAATTAACAGAGTGAATTTAGAGAACAGATTATTTATATTCAATTTCATTGCATGCTTCCTGCAAAGCTTTTTCCTAGTGCCCATCTGTTTTGGGTCTTTGTAGTTGTACCTGTCAGCCAGATGTGGACCAAATAAAGGACAAAAAGATTGTAGAAAACTTTATGAAATTTGCAACCTAAGTAATCACCTAGCAGGGTGTTTCAACCCAAGCACAAATCATACGTGTTCCAGCTGCACTATGGAAAACTAACCTATCATGTTTCAGAGTAGTAGGCATGTTAGTCTGTATCTGCAAAAAGAACAGGAGTACTTATGGCACCTTAAGGGTATGTCTACACTACAGAATAAGGTCGAATTTATAGAAGTCGGTTTTTTAGAAATTGGTTTTATATATTCGAGTGTGTGTGTCCCCACAGAAAATGCTCTAAGTGCATTAAGTGCATTAAGTGCATTAACTCGGCGGAGCGCTTCCACAGTATCGAGGCTAGAGTCGACTTCCGGAGCGTTGCACTGTGGGTAGCTATCCCACAGTTCCCGCAGTCTCTGCTGCCCATTGGAATTCTGGGTTGAGATCCCAATGCCTGATGGGGCTAAAACATTGTCGTGGGTGGTTCTGGATTCATATCGTCAGGCCCCCGTTCCCTCCCTCCCTCCCTCCCTCCGTGAAAGCAAGGGCAGACAATCGTTTCGCGCCTTTTTTCCTGAGTTACCTGTGCAGACGCCATACCACTGCAAGCATGGAGCCCGCTCAGGTAACCGTCACCCTATGTCTCCTGGGTGCTGGCAGACGCGGTACGGCATTGCTACACAGTAGCAGCAACCCCTTGCCTTGTGGTAGCAGACGGTACAGTACGACTGGTAGCCGTCATCGTCATGTCCGAGGTGCTCCTGGCCACGTCGGCTGGGAGCGCCTGGGCAGACATGGGCGCAGGGACTAAATTTGGAGTGACTTGACCAGGTCATTCTCTTTAGTCCTGCAGTCAGTCCTATTGAACCGTCTTATGGTGAGCGGGCAGGCGATACGGACTGCTAGCAGTCGTACTGTACCATCTTCTGCCAGGCAGGCAAGAGATGAGGATTGCTAGCAGTCGTATTGTACCATCTTCTGCCAGGCAGGCAAGAGATGAGGATGGCTAGCAGTCGTACTGTACCATCTTCTGCCAAGCAGCCATGAGATGTGGATGGCATGCAGTCCTTCTGCACCGTCTGCTGCCAGCCAAAGCTGTAAAAGATAGATGGAGTGGGTCAAAACAAGAAATAGACCAGATTTGTTTTGTACTCATTTGCGTCCTCCCCTGTCTAGGGGACTCATTCATCTAGGTCACACTGCAGTCATTCACAGAGAAGGTGCAGCAAGGTAAATCTAGCCATGTATCAATCAGAGGCCAGGCTAACCTCCTTGTTCCAATAAGAACGATAACTTAGGTGCACCATTTCTTTTTGGAACCCTCCGTGAAGTCCTGCCTGAAATACTCCTTGATGTAAAGACACCCCCTTTGTTGATTTTAGCTCCCTGAAGCCAACCCTGTAAGCCGTGTCGTCAGTCGCCCCTCCCTCCGTCAGAGCAACGGCAGACAATCGTTCCGCGCCTTTTTTCTGTGCGGACGCCATACCAAGGCAAGCATGGAGGCCGCTCAGCTCACTTTGGCAATTAGGAGCACATTAAACACCACACGCATTATCCAGCAGTATATGCAGCACCAGAACCTGGCAAAGCGATACCGGGCGAGGAGGCGACGTCAGCGCGGTCACGTGAGTGATCAGGACATGGACACAGATTTCTCTGAAAGCATGGGCCCTGCCAATGCATGCATCATGGTGCTAATGCGGCAGGTTCATGCTGTGGAACGCCGATTCTGGGCTCGGGAAACAAGCACAGACTGGTGGGACCGCATAGTGTTGCAGGTCTGGGATGATTCCCAGTGGCTGCGAAACTTTCGCATGCGTAAGGGCACTTTCATGGAACTTTGTGACTTGCTTTCCCCTGCCCTGAGGCGCATGAATACCAAAATGAGAGCAGCCCTCATAGTTGAGAAGCGAGTGGCGATAGCCCTGTGGAAGCTTGCAACGCCAGACAGCTACCGGTCAGTTGGGAATCAATTTGGAGTGGGCAAATCTACTGTGGGGGCTGCTGTGATGCAAGTAGCCCACGCAATCAAAGATCTGCTGATATCAAGGGTAGTGACCCTGGAAAATGTGCAGGTCATAGTGGATGGCTTTGCTGCAATGGGATTCCCTAACTGTGGTGGGGCTATAGACGGAACCCATATCCCTATCTTGGCACCGGAGCACCAAGCCGCCGAGTACATAAACCGCCAGGGGTACTTTTCGATAGTGCTGCAAGCTCTGGTGGATCACAAGGGACGTTTCACCAATATCAACGTGGGATGGCCGGGAAAGGTGCATGATGCTCGCATCTTCAGGAACTCTGGTCTGTTTCAAAAGCTGCAGGAAGGGACTTTATTCCCAGACCAGAAAATAACTGTTGGGGATGTTGAAATGCCTATATGTATCCTTGGGGACCCAGCCTACCCCTTAATGCCATGGCTCATGAAGCCGTACACAGGCAGCCTGGACAGTAGTCAGGAGCTGTTCAACTACAGGCTGAGCAAGTGCAGAATGGTGGTAGAATGTGCATTTGGACATTTAAAGGCGCGCTGGCGCAGTTTACTGACTCGCTTAGACCTCAGCGAAACCAATATTCCCACTGTTATTACTGCTTGCTGTGTGCTCCACAATATCTGTGAGAGTAAGGGGGAGACGTTTATGGCGGGGTGGGAGGTTGAGGCAAATCGCCTGGCTGCTGGTTACGCGCAGCCAGACACCAGGGCGGTTAGAAGAGCACAGGAGGGCGCGGTACGCATCAGAGAAGCTTTGAAAACCAGTTTCATGATTGGCCAGGCTACGGTGTGAAAGTTCTGTTTGTTTCTCCTTGATGAAACCCCCCACCCCTTGGTTCACTCTACTTCCCTGTAAGCTAACCACCCGCCCCTCCTCCCTTCAATCACCGCTTGCAGAGGCAATAAAGTCATTGTTGCTTCACATTCATGCATTCTTTATTCATTCATCACACAAATAGGGGGATGACTACCAAGGTAGCCCAGGAGGGGTGGTGGAGGAGGGAAGGAAAATGCCACACAGCACTTTAAGCACAGCAATTTAAAAGTTTACAACTTTAAAATTTATTGAATGACAGCCTTCTTTTTTTTGGGCAATCCTCTGTGGTGGAGTGGCTAGTTGGCCGGAGGCCCCCCCACCGCGTTCTTGGGCGTCTGAGTGTGGAGGCTATGGAACTTGGGGAGGAGGGCGGTTGGTTACAGAGGGGCTGCAGTGGCAGTCTGTGCTCCAGCTGCCTTTGCTGCAGCTCAACCATACACTGGAGCATACTGGTTTGGTCCTGCAGCAGCCTCAGCATTGAATCCTGCCTCCTCTCATCACGCTGCCGCCACATTTGAGCTTCAGCCCTGTCTTCAGCCCGCCACTTACTCTCTTCAGCCCGCCACCTCTCCTCCCGGTCATTTTATGCTTTCCTGCACTCTGACATTATTTGCCTCCACGCATTCGTCTGTGCTCTGTCAGTGTGGGAGGACAGCATGAGCTCGGAGAACATTTCATCGCGAGTGCGTTTTTTTTTTCTTTCTAAGCTTCACTAGCCTCTGGGAAGGAGAAGATCCTGTGATCATTGAAACACATGCAGCTGGTGGAGAAAAAAAAAGGGACAGCGGTATTTAAAAAGACACATTTTATAAAACAGTGGCTACACTCTTTCAGGGTAAACCTTGCTGTTAACATTACATACATAGCACATGTGCTTTCGTTACAAGGTCGCATTTTGCCTCCTCCCACCGCGTGACTACCCCCTCAACCTTCCCCCCTCCCTGTGGCTAACAGTGGGGAACATTTCTGTTTAGCCACAGGCAAACAGCCCAGCAGGAATGGGCTCCTCTGAGTGTCCCCTGAAGAAAAGCACTCTATTTCAACCAGGTGACCATGAATTATATCTCACTCTCCTGAGGATAACACAGAGAGATAAAGAACGGATGTTGTTTGAATGCCAGCAAACATACACTGCAATGCTTTGTTCTACAATGATTCCCGAGTACGTGTTACTGGCCTGGAGTGGTAAAGTGTCCTACCATGAAGGACGCAATAAGGCTGCCCTCCCCAGAAACCTTTTGCAAAGGCTTTAGGACTACATCTAGGAGAACCGCAAATGCCAGGGCAAAGTAACCCTTTCACATGCTTGCTTTTAAACCATGTATAGTATTTTAAAAGGTACACTCACCAGAGGTCCCTTCTCCGCCTGCTGGGTCCAGGAGGCAGCCTTGGGTGGGTTCGGGGGGTACTGGGTCCAGGTCTAGGGTGAGAAACAGTTCCTGGCTGTCGGGAAAACCGGTTTCTCCGCTTGCTTGCTGTGAGCTATCTACAACCTCATCATCATCATCATCTTCTTCGTCCCCAAAACCTGCTTCCGTATTGCCTCCATCTCCATTGAAGGAGTCAAACAACACGGCTGGGGTAGTGGTGGCTGAACCCCCTAAAATGGCATGTAGCTCATCATAGAAGCGGCATGTTTGGGGCTCTGACCCAGAGCGGCTGTTCGCCTCTCTGGTTTTCTGGTAGGCTTGCCTCAGCTCCTTCAGTTTCACACGGCACTGCTTCGGGTCCCTGTTATGGCCTCTGTCCTTCATGCCCTGGGAGATTTTGACAAAGGTTTTGGCATTTCGAAAACTGGAACGGAGTTCTGATAGCACGGATTCCTCTCCCCAAACAGCGATCAGATCCCGTACCTCCCGTTCAGTCCATGCTGGAGCTCTTTTGCGATTCTGGGACTCCATCATGGTCACCTGTGCTGATGAGCTCTGCATGGTCACCTGCAGCTTGCCATGCTGGCCAAACAGGAAATGAGATTCAAAAGTTCGCGGTTCTTTTCCTGTCTACCTGGCCAGTGCATCTGAGTTGAGAGTGCTGTCCAGAGCGGTCATAATGGAGCACTCTGGGATAGCTCCCGGAGGCCAATACCATCGAATTGTGTCCACAGTACCCCAAATTCGAGCCGGCAACGTCGATTTAAGCGCTAATCCACTTGTCAGGGGTGGAGTAAGGAAATCGATTTTAAGAGCCCTTTAAGTCGAAATAAAGGGCTTCATTGTGTGGACGGGTGCAGGTTTACATCGATTTAACGCTGCTAAATTTGACCTAAAGTCCTAGTGTAGACCAGGGCTAACAAATTTATTTGAGCATAAGCTTTCGTGAGCTACAGCTCGCTTCATCGGATGCATGCAGTGGAAAATACAGTGGGGAGATTTATATACACAGAGAACATGAAACAATGGGTGTTACCATACACACTGTAAGGAGAATGATCAGGTAAGGTGAACTATTACCAGCAGGAGAGTGGGGGTGGGGGAGGGAAACCTTTTGTAGTGATAATCAAGGGGGGCCATTTCCAGCAGTTGACAAGAACGTGTGAGGAACAGTGGGGGGGGGGAGGAGGAAATAAATGTGGGGAAATAGTTTTACTTTGTGTAATGACACGTCCACTACCAGTCTTTATTCAAGCCTAAGTTAATTGTATTCAGTGTGCAAATTAATTCCAATTCAGCAGTCTCTCGTTGGAGTCTGTTTTTGAAGTTTTTTTGTTGAAGAATTGGCACTTTTAGGTCTGTAATCGAGTGACCAAAGAGATTGAGGTGTTCTCCAACTGGTTTTTGAATGTTATAATTCTTGACGTCTGATTTGTGTCCATTTATTCTTTTACGTAGAGACTGTCCAGTTTGGCCAATGTACATGGCAGGGGGCATTGCTGGCACATGATAGCATATATCACATTGGTAGATGTGCAGGTGAACGAGCCTCTGATAGTGTGGCTGATGTGATTAGGCCCTATGATGGTGTCCCCTGAATAGATATGTGGACACAGTTGGCAACGGGCTTTGTTGCAAGGATAGGTTCCTGGGTTAGTGGTTTTGTTGTGTGGTTGCTGGTATTTGCTTCAGGTTGGGGGGCTGTCTATAAGTAAGGACTGGCCTGTCTCCCAAGATCTGTGAGAGTGATGGGTCGTCCTTTAGGATAGGTTGTAGATCCTTGATACACATGTAGATACACACTATCAGAGCTGTACCCAGATCCTCCAACATGGTTGCTTTTCAGGCAGTAGATAGGAATTGTTTTTTACCCCATCTCTGCTATCTATAACTAAATACATACATACAGTTTGACAACAGTTCTGGTGCAATATTCCTGGTTCTGCTTTGTTACACAACAACATACTGCCCATATGAACTGTGTGGATACGCCCAGAGTGCATTAGAAGTGGGTTTAAAATAAATTCCAGGGCCCAAGTCTCTAGCTGGCCTAATGCTAGTTGTTATTGTCTGGCTATTGTACAGTTTACTCCTGCCTATACAGACCTGGCAGGGTCAGATCATGATTGGGCACATGATTATTACCAGCTGGTAAACTGGACTCACGAATTTATTTGAGCACAAGCTCAAAGCATAAGCATCAGCTCACTTCATTGGATGCACTGTGTGCTCTGTAGCTCAGGCGGGGGCTTTCTGTTTCTGGGTTGTTGCAACTTCCCTGCCGCAGTTTCACAGTCTGCACATTTCAGGAGAGTATTTGCCAGCTGCGATTTTGGAGTAGGGAGGAGAGAAAGCACCTCTCCAGAGTTATTTCGTGTAGCTCGGGAAACGGAGTCATTTTTGTGGGCCAAGACTTGAGTAGAGCAGGGGGAAAGGGAGGGGAAGAGAGTTGATTCCCCCCTGCAGCTACCTCCATTCTAGAAGAGGAAGTTGCCTGGCCAGCACCAGACTTTCTACCTCTCCCTCCCATGGGACTGGAGGGGCGGGTCTGGACTCACCGCTGCTTTCCCCGCCGTGCACGTTGACCAGGATCTCCTTCCCCCCGGACGAGGATCTCTTGCTGTGGCCGCCGGCCCCGCCGGGGTGCGGCGCGGCGAGCGCCCTGCACCCAGCTGCAGCTCTCCCCAGCCGAAGCATTGTGCGGGCTTTCAAGGCTTTCAAAGCGACAGCGGCGGCTGCTTCCTCCTGCGCCTACCTCCAAGTTTGGGGAGAAGCTCTGCTGCGCCACCCACTGGCGGAAATGCTCCCTGCAGCCTCCAGAGGGCAGGGGAAAGTAGAACCCACCATTCCAGCAAAATTGCTACTGGGCTTGGCTCTGATTTAATGGGCGGCAAGACCCCACTGTCCTGCTGGGAGAAAGGGGGCTCAGAAAAGGTTGCTGATTTATTTAAATGACGGTGGGAAGCTACGATCAGAAATGGCAGGAAATACTGAGGGACTGCAAGGAGAGGTGACAGGTTATATAGCCCAAAAGCTTTTCTCTCACCAACAGAGACTGATCTATTAAAAGATATCATCTCACCCACCTTGTCTCTCAGGTTATATGAGAGGCAGTTGCCATCTACACAATCTATGGCTTTGATCCTGCCAACCCTTTAATTTTAAGCATTGCAGGGGTTCATTACGGACTAATTAACTCATTTGTCATTAAGTACTAAATAACTCATTTGGGATCAGAATTAATTATTTTAGAAAGGCTATGGAAGTTAATCCAGAAGGAAAAACTCACTGTATCTATACATTTTTAGAAATACATTTTAGTCTATTCACCTCTCTGCCTTGCTTTCCCTAGCTGTAAAATGGGGATAATGATACTTCACAACATCCTGTGATGATGGGACACCTATTCATTCTCACTCACCAGAAGCTCAGAGAAGGTGATGAGCACAATAGAAATGCCTGTAAATAAATGAGGAATAATTAATGCCCATCCTCACAGAATGCGTGGGGATCGGAAATAGAACCCATGTCCCCTTTCTGCTCTGCACCAGTGAAAACTTTGGAAATGGCTTTGCTACAGCACCTCACTTCTGAGGCTGGTTTTCTTTCAAGAACAGCATGACACAGGGAGAAGCTGTATGTTAATATTCTACAGACAATGTGTTGCTTTTTTTTTTTTTTTGGCTGGACTTTGAGAACCTTGAGCAAGGCAAGGCCCCCAGTTCTTAAACTAGTGATTATTTTTTTGGTGGAAGGAGTGATTAGCTGACACGAGAAACAAAAAGATCTACAATTTATCTGACAAAAATGCTATAAAGAAAATAGTAATTTTGTGTTACAAGAATCTGATCCCAAAATATTATATTTACTGTGACAGACAATGATAATAAAATGATATATTCATGGGAGAATGGGGCCTGTTCTCCAGCCATGGGACACAAATAAATTCCCATTTTTAAAAAATGTAGTTTCTGTGATGGGAAAATGAGGGGGACATGTATGAGCAGAAGAAAGGTTCTGCGGACTATAACACAAGAACTGGGGCTTTGTTTCCTTGTTCTACCACAGACTTTCCAAATGGCATTGGGCAAGTTGTTTAACGGTATTTAGGCACCTAACTCCCAAAGGATCTGAGCCTTAATCTCTTTGTGCTAATCCCCCATCTGCAAAATGGTAACAATAAAACTTCACAGAGGTGTTGTGCAGATTCATTAGTGTTTGTGAGGTACTCAGATGCTACAATGATGGAAACTACATAACTCCATAGATGTATAGAGCACAGGACTAGAAGCCAGGAACTGCCTTTCTGTCAGAGGATATGAGTTACTCCTCATAATTTATAGGGGGACAATACTGCCCTGAGTTCTAATCCTGCATCTGACTTCTTTTGTGGGTTTGAATAATTCACTTACCCTCTCTGCCTCAGTTTACTTATAAAGTAGGGATATTCATATTTACCTACCAACACAGGTTTTTGAGGATTAATTAACAAATATCTGTACAGTGCTAAGTATGATATTAATTATTATTGAGGAATGTACCAATTGTACAACCCAATAAGACAACTTTACAGAGCTGTACAATTACTATCTGAAAATTTAATAATTTGGTAATCTGGCTATCCATTTTTTTCTAGGGACATTTCTGCCAAACTTGCTATTTGAATTTGACTATAGTTGCAGATTGCAAAAGGCTCTTTAAATTTCCTTGTTCACGTTTAGAGCTATTTTGCAGACCTCGTTTGGAAAACAAACCATATTAGATAATTAAAGTTAACTAATAAAAAAAAGTCTCAAACCAAAAAGCCCAGCAAAATATGGAAAAAGTAACAGCTGCAAAAATGTATACAAACACATGTACATTTTCCCTACTCAACTGCACCATACCTGTCTTCCTTATAAAAGGAAGGATTACTATACTGAGGAGATACTCAGCATGAAGTTCAACTAAAGATTATTACATATGACTAGGCAATGTACGTACATCTGCATGTAAAATCAAAGACAACAGTTCTACGAGAGCTTTTGACCTTATATGTTAACTACTTAGCAAGCACTGCATTATTTTTTGTAGAACAGAGTGGCGCACCCTTTATCCTTTAATTCTAAAACTCAGATTATGCCTTGTAAAAGTCCCAAATTAATTTCTCAGATGTGAAAAAAAAATTGTCAAGAATACTGTATTAGGCTTCAATGCTGCAATGAGACCTGCATAAGCAGACCCGTGCAGTCACATGGAAGTCAGTATGGTTCTGCATGGGTGCCAGGGTCTACCCACACAAAACAGTTTGCAGCTTCAGGGCTTTTGCAGCATGAATGTGTATATTTATATATTGGTTAGGTTCTTGTTTGGTTAACCTTTTTGCTTTGTTCCAGTTATTAGCACAGCCCTGGGAATAGTGTTGGTTAGTTAAGTGCTGGTTTCATCAGACCAGCATAGGGGGAATTTTATACATTATTTTCAGGTATGTCACACCAATAATAGTGACTTAAAAAAACCTGAAGGATAGAGTGCTGCCATCTAACAATATTTTATACAGTATTTATGATCTAATTATAATCAAATTATATCTATATCTATCTATCACATTTGTAATGCTCCTATCACTATAGGAACTATAGTGGTATATATACCTCCCCAGGCCACTCCTTAGTGTACAGTCCCCACAAGAAGTACTCAGTAAACAAGGTGAGAAGATCTCTTTAAAGAATCATAGAAGCTAGAGATGAAAAAGACCTATGGGAGTTATTAAGGAATTGAAGAAAAACTGACAGGTGTGAGACAGGTGAGTTCTCACTCTCCATTTATCAGATTGATTTTATATATATTTCTCACACATGTACCTGTTTTTAGGGAGTGTTATCTAGTGATTAGTGCAGGAGACTGCAAATCAGGACACTTAGGTTCTAATCCTGACTTTTGTTAACAGTTTATGGAGGTTTTTTTATTCCCATTTATGATGCTTTGCAAATTGCTCCAGGGCTTGGAATGAAAAGGGAACACTCTTTTAAAAATTAAGCTGTTAGTTTAATAAGTATAGCAAAAAGACAAACTGAAAGTTAAAATATTTACCTCCGAGTTCTGAATAACTCTGTTGTTGCATATTCACCATATAACTTAACTGAGCACCTGATCTAGTTTAAATTAAATATCCTGTTTTTAGAGGCCATACCAGATGATTTAATGAAATTGATTGTTGCGAGTACACTGTCCACTCTCTAACCAGGGGGAATTTGAGAATTGAAAAGGTATGCATGCTGGAGCACCTCTGCAGCACTATTAAGTGCACCTCCTCTCTGTTGACTTGCTCAGCGCCTCCTCCTATCTGCCACAATATTCCCCTTTTGATCACCCTATACCCACCTTGACCTCCTTTCAGTTGCCAAATACTCCCACTCCCCCCCCCTGGTAATTTTCATCTCACTCATTAGACTCCTACCCTAAATGGCTCTCCCAGTCTCCCGCTACCCTCCTCTCTCTCCAGTCTAGATCCTGCAACTGATTCTGAATGGGTCACCCAGCACCCAGGAGGAGCCAGTGAACTCAACACAGGCCTGTCCACGAGGACTTGGTTGCAATATGCAGGCTAGGGGGACTAGACAGCAAATGTGGAAAATCGGGACAGGGGGTGGGGGATAATAGGAGCTCGAAAACCGGGACTGTCCCTGTAAAATCGGGATATCTGGTCACCCTAATGCAGGCCCATAGGTGCAAAGGTCACAGGACTTTAACACCTTGTCGTCTGGAACAGGCTGCTTGATTAATGTCGGCGAGTGTTAAAGAAGGAAAAGAACTTTCCGTGCCAGTGAAGTGAAAGCTCCTCTCCCGAAATAACCCCTGGCCGATTCCCCTCCCCCGGCCCCCTCAGGCCCAGCTCACGAGTTACACAAAACTCCCTCTCGCGCCCCGCGCGGGGCGCCCTTCCCCAGCCAACGACGCTGGCGCGGAGAGCCGCAGGGCTCCCTCCTCACAGCAACGGCGGCGCTGAGCCACGGACACCGGCCAGCCACCTCCTTTGGCGGCGGTTAAACATTAACAGCGGGCTCTGGGCGGCACAGACCGGACACACGCGGGCGAGTCCACAGTCCGAGGCCCCGATCCTGCCCCTTTGGGGGAGGCGGCACGCGCCACGGCCGGCGGTTAACGCTCCTCAGAGGGCACGCGGCCGCCGCGGGTGCGAGCCAGGGGCCGGTCCCGCGAAAGGGGCGAGGCGGCCGCACACCAGCAGCCATACGTTGCCCGCCGCCGCCGCCTATCCCCAGCTAGCATGGCTGCCACTCCCACTGCCCTTTCTACCACTGACACTGAGGCGACCTCGCCCTCCTCCCGCCCGCTCCCCGAACGTAAAGCCGAGGAAAGGGACAAGTGGCGGCCAGGAAAGCAAGGGTCCGTTGCAAGCGCGCTGCCCCTTTAAGAGAAGGGGCGGAGGGAAGCGGCCGGAGATCGGCGCGACGGAACCTAGCCGCCGCGCGCTCCCCCGCCCCCTCGACCTTTGGCTCCTCTAGCCTGTCCGTCAGAGGCGTGGCCGCGGGATTGGTCGACCTTCCTCTCCGCCCTGGCCTCCAGCGCCCGCGCGCGCCCGCCTCCTTTTCGCCCAGGGGCGGCTCGAGCGCGCGCTCCTCTCACAGCTGCAGGATGGCGCTGTTCGGCCGGAGAGTGTTTGTGGTGGGAGTCGGGATGACCAAGGTACTCAGGGCGCCGGGCGGCCCCAGGCACCCTGCGCCTCGCGCATGCGTCTCTGCCCCCTTCTCTGAGGGGCTCGGGGGAGGTGTGTCTGCCCCAGCGCTCGGCCGGGTCTGGGGCTGGACGGCGGAGGTTGTGGGGTGAGTGGCGCCGCTGTCACCCTCCGCCCCCAACGCCTTTCCCTTAAGGACACAGCCCCCTCCCCCGCTTCACAGCGTTTCCCTAGGTCCCTAATTATGTAGCTGCGCTCCTTCTGCCTTAAGGTTTTAACTACTGCCCATCACCGTAGTATCTGGGCTGGGGTTACCAGAAAGCAAGTGTGAAAAATCGAGACACTTTGGGGTGTGTGTGTGTGTGTGGTTGCATATATAAAACAAAGCTCCCAACGTCTGGACGGTCCGGTAACCCGGGCACAGGATGTTTCCCTGCCCCCGTCCCTGAATGCTCTGAGGGGACGAGACTTGGGGCCAGCTCCCTGTGCAGCAAAGGGCTTAGACTCTTCTCATGCTTGAACTCTCACGCCTGTCTCCCAGAATGGTTTTAGGCATAACTCTTCTGCCCCCTGCCTCCAAACTGTTCTGGTTAATAGGTGTTCTCCCCCCACCAACGTTGGAGCGGAGCCTATTCATCTCATTCTGAGTTAGGGGAACATGTAGGAGAGGAATGTATTTTTCTGGATTTGACAAATCAGAAGACTTTCTTTGGTGAGTGCATAACTGAAATGGCTCCAGTTGCCCTTGTTAGAGGTCTAGTCACAAGTGACTAGTCCTCAGGAATAGACCACCCAACGCATTTTTGGACGAAGTGCGCCTCCTGTCTGGGGTCTGTACAGCCCTGCTGGAGATGCTGAAGTGGGGCTGCCTGGTGGCCCCGCGTTCTGCTCCTTTCGCTGGTGCAGTTCCCGGAAGTAAGTAGTGATCCCCGCACCTTGTTCGTCCTAAGGGGATCCACCGTGGCAAAGTGTCCCTCAACAAGGCAGACAAGATCGTCTGGCAGCTGGTGAAGAAGTGGCTGTTCCTTCCCTAGAGAGCCAGCAACAAACTGGTCTACATCGCTCACAGGCACAGTGGCGCAGTGTCCCCCGCATGGGCAACTGTGTGACATCGTGGTGATCACCTATGCCTTCCGCCTGTTGACGTATCTCGATGCCACGGTAAGGAACATTGCGGCGAACGCCCTGCGTGGAGTGATGTAACAAAGAAGCGGATTGGCAGAGCCCCCTCCAAACAAGACATCACCACCTTTCTGAGCGGCTCCCTGGATGGTGAATTCGGACAGGACAGGGGCGACATCACTTCACTGTGGTTCCGCGTTCACAGTGACATGCGTCACCTGGGGAAGCATGTCGGCTGCCGCTGGGAGTCCTGGTGCCACAGATCAGGTCCGATGTCAACACCATTGTCACCCCGAGCTCCAGGGGCATGCTGGAGAAGACCCTGAAGGCCGCCGTCCACTCGCTGTACGTGGAAACCCTGAAGTGTAAACCGGACCTGAGTTGACCAGTAAGTGGGTAAAGCCTTCCAGTTGACCAGCAAGTGGGACACCAGCAACCACTTCCTTGCTGAGGGCGGCTTCACCCGTTTCGCCGACTGGCGGTTCATCCACTGTGCCTGTCTCAACTGTGTCCCGCTCAATGGAGCCATCCGCCATGTGAACCGAGACAAGCGTTGCAGGAAGTGCGGCTACTCCATTGAGACCCTGCCCCACATCCTGTGCAGCTGCAAGCCCTACTCTTGAGCCTTTTACCCCCAATTGGGGCTATTGCAGACTATGTATTCCTTATGCCATCCGATCTTAAACCAAACTTCGCACCCCTTGATAATCTGTACGTTATTCCCTAATAACCAGAAATTTCTACACGTAAAGTCTGTATGGTTCACGTTTTTTAAACACCATCTTAATAAAATATATAATCTTTTCCAATTAAGCTACTGCTTGTGGCAGTGTAGAGATGTAGAACTCCATAGTGCACCAGTGATATATTTTCTGTATCTATTCTAATTGAATGTAAAACCCCTGGGGCTATTGGAAAAAGAATAATTGCAGACCTCCAGAGGTTTGGACTTTTGTCTACACTTAATCCTCTACAGTGGCACTGCTGTAACGCTTCAGTGTAGGCACTGCCCATGAGTGGAGGTAATTTGCCAAGGGTGATGGGGAGGGGCTGGGAAAGGCAATAGCGGGGCTAGGGGCAATGGGGAGGGGTGGGGGAGACAGTGGCAGGATGATGGGTGGGGGGCCAGGGGAGGCGGTGATAGGGAGGGGTGGGGGGCCGGATGAGGCAGTGGCGGTACCAGGGTTTTCCTAAGGCCGACTCTGGCAGGGCGGGCCTTAAGGGTGAGTGCCATGGGCAACCTCCCAGGGTGCCATGGTCAGGGGGCTCTGTGGTCAAGAGGTGTTGCTGGAGGGTGCCTTGGCAGTCATCAGGAAGTTGACCATGGCTGTGGTGGCGAGGGGGAGCATGCCATTGTGCCTCCCTCCACTATCAGGTTAGGTCGGCCTATGTCTCACCCCGACAGACGTAGCTATGCTGATGTATGTTCCCATTGTATATCACCACTGGATTCCATGTGTTTTAAGCTTCCCAAGTCTGACTGGAGTCCAGGCACTGTTCGTGCCTTGGGGCCCCTGGGTACACTCCTGAGGGTGAAAATCTGGCACCTCCTCCTGAGAGCTTAGACCACACAGCTCCTTGCCCAGTCCCTGGAACCAGTGCCCTTTATCCTCCTGCTGTAGCATTTGGCGACGCCTGGGAGGGGCACAAAGGGTCACATGCCCCTCCCCAGATGCCTGCGGGAGCACATTCAGCAGGGAACTGCAGCGGTGAAAGGAGCAGAATGTTGGGCCTCTGGGTGGTTCCACACCAGCAGCTCCTCCGGCGCGGCTGTACCACCCCCAGCCCTTCCATGCAGCTGCGTCTCCTGTCTGGGGTCTGTACAGCCCCGCCTGAGGACGGGACTGGAGGCTGTGCTGGGGGCGGTACAGCCGCGCTGGAGATGCTGGTGTGGGGCTGCCCGGTGGCCACACATTCTGCTCCTTTCGCTGCTGCAGCTCCCAGCAGCAGGAGGACAGAGCCTATCCCCTAGTGCGATGGGGACAGGGAGAGTATGGGCCCCCCAGGCTGGGGCAGAGTGGAGTCATGGGGGGGTAATGTTCCCCCTCTTTAGCTGGTGCCCCCCTTTGTGCCGCCCTTCCCATGAGTCATCCAGCCCTTCGCCTCAGTTTTCCTCTTTTTTTTCCTAAATAAACCAAACTAGTATTTTACAAGTTCAGTAGCAACATCCCTCCTTAGGGTCTGGTTTATTAACATAGGGTATGTCTACACTACGGAATAAGGTCGAATTTATAGAAGTCGGTTTTTTAGAAATCGGTTTTATATATTCAAGTGTGTGTGTCCCCACAGAAAATGCTCTAAGTGCATTAAGTGCATTAACTCGGCGGAACGCTTCCACAGTACCGAGGCTAGAGTCGACTTCCGGAGCGTTGCACTGTGGGTAGCTATCTCACAGTTCCCGCAGTCTCCGCTGCCCATTGGAATTCTGGGTTGAGATCCCAATGCCTGATGGGGCTAAAACATTGTCGCGGGTGGTTCTGGGTACATATCGTCAGACCCCCGTTCCCTCCCTCCCTCCGTGAAAGCAAGGGCAGACAATCATTTCGCGCCTTTTTTCCTGAGTTACCTGTGCAGACGCCATACCACTGCAAGCATGGAGCCCGCTCAGGTAACTGTCACCGTATGTCTCCTGGGTGCTGGCAGACGCGGTACGGCATTGCTACACAATAGCAGCAACCCATTGCCTTGTGGCAGCAGACGGTACAGTACGACTGGTAGCCGTCATCGTCATGTCCGAGGTGCTCCTGGCCACGTCGGCTCGGAGAGCCTGGGCAGACATGGGTGCAGGGACTAAATTTGGAGTGACTTGACCAGGTCATTCTCTTTAGTCCTGCAGTCAGTCCTATTGAACCGTCTTATGGTGAGCGGGCAGGCGATACGGACTGCTAGCAGTCGTACTGTACCATCTTCTGCCGAGCAGCCATGAGATGTGGATGGCATGCAGTCCTTCTGCACCGTCTGCTGCCAGCCAAAGATGTAAAAGATAGATGGAGTGGATCAAAACAAGAAATAGACCAGATTTGTTTTGTACTCATTTGCTTCCCCTCCTCTCCTGTCTAGGGGACTCATTCTTCTAGGTCACACTGCAGTCACTCACAGAGAAGGTGCAGCGAGGTAAATCTAGCCATGTATCAATCAGAGGCCAGGCTAACCTTCTTGTTCCAATAAGGACAATAACTTAGGTGCACCATTTCTTATTGTAACCCTCCGTGAAGTCCTGCCTGAAATACTCCTTGATGTAAAGACACCCCCTTTGTTGATTTTAGCTCCCTGAAGCCAACCCTGTAAGCGCCCCTCCCGGCGTCAGAGCAACGGCAAACAATCGGGCATCTGAGAGTGCTGTCTAGAGCAGTCACAATGGAGCACTCTGTTGGGGCTAAAACATTGTCGCGGGTGGTTCTGGGTACGTATCGTCAGGCCCCCGTTCCCTCCCTCCCTCCGTGAAAGCAAGGGCAGACAATCATTTCGCGCCTTTTTTCCTGAGTTACCTGTGCAGACGCCATACCACGGCAAGCATGGAGCCCGCTCAGGTAACCGTCACCCTATGTCTCCTGGGTGCTGGCAGACGCGGTACGGCTTTGCTGCACAGT